GGGAGTGGCATGATATAATCTAAGTGATGAAAGGAAGAAACCTACAACCAAAAATAATATATGCAGCAAGGTTGTCCTTCACAATGAAGGAAAGAAAAAAGAGTTTCCCAGATAAATAAAAGTAAGGTTTGTTACAACTCAACTGGCCTTCTAAGAAATGTTAAAGGGACTTTTTTTAAGAAAAGAAAGGCCATAATGAGAACTAAGAAAATTACTAAAAAATTTCATTAGTAAAAACAAACACATAGTAATGGTAGTAGATCAATCACTTACAAAGCTAGTAGGAAGACAAAGAGATGAAAGTAGTAAAATCAATTATATCTAAAATAATTATTTAATGGATATACAAAATAAAGATGTAAATTGTGAAGTCAAATACATAAAATGTGGAGAGTGGTAGTAAAAATAAGGTGCTTTTAGAATGTGTTAAATTTAATTGAACCTCAACTTTAGTAGGCTGATAATAAGTAGGGTTTTATATATGAATGTCATATGAACCACAAACCAAAACCCTTTAATAGATAAAAAACCTGAAGAGAAAAGAATCCAAGCCTAGCCCTCAGGAAAATATAAAATCACAAGGGAGAGGACAAGAAGAGAAGAAGAAAGGAACCAGGAAGACTATAAAACAACCAGAAAATGTTACATGCCTGTTGTATATGCCAACAAATGGCAATACATACCTATCAATAATTACTTTTTTACATAAATGGTCTAAAGTTCCAATCAAAAGATTAAGGGTGACCAACCCAATGGGGAAGAAACAAAACAAGACCCAATATGCCATCTCCAAGAGCCTCACTTTAGACCTTAAGATACCTATAGCCTGCAAGGGAAGGGCTGGAAGAGCATATACTATGCAAATGGAAGTGAAAGAAAAACAGCTGGGGTAACAATACTCTTATCAGACAAAATAGACTTTCAAGCAAAGTCTGTAACAAGAGACCTAGATTGGAGTTTCATAATGATGAAGGGATCAGTCTAACAAGAGGATAATAATGGTTGTATATTTCTATGCACACAACATAGGATCACCTAAATATATAAAGCAAATTAACAGACTAAAAGGAGATATTAACATAATAAGAGGGGATTTTCCCCATTTACATCAGTGGATAAATTATCTAGAAAAAAATCAATAAAGAAGGAAACAGTGCTTGAATGACACATTAGGCCAGACAGACCTAACAGATATATACAGAACATTCCATCCAAAAACAGCAGGATACACATTATTTTCAAGTACCCATGGAACATTCTCCAGGGCAGATCACATATTATGCCACATAACAAGTCTTAAAAAATTTAAGAAAATTGAAATCATATCAGCCAGCTTTCCTAACCACAAAAATATGAAGCTAGAACTCAATTATGAGAAAAACACTGGAAAAAAACCAGAAACTTTTGGGAGTCTCAACTCAATATGCTACCAGACAACCAATGGGTCAGTGAAGAAAATGCAGAGAAAATAAAAATTGGTTGCAGACGAATGAAAATGAAAACACAGTAGTTCAAAATCTTTGCTACCCATGTCCAGTGATACAGGCCTAGCAACAAACAACAACAAAACAAAAATCTTAATCTAACCTTACTCTTTAGAAACTAGAAAAAGAAAAACAAAGCCCAGTGTTAGTAGAGGGAAGGAAATAAGACTCCAGTGGAAATAAATAAAATGGAGACTTTAAAAAACAATAGAAAATATCAGTGAAACTAAGAGCTGGTTTGTTGAAAAGCAAAACAAAATTAATAAACCTTTAGCCAGACTCTTAACAAAAAAAGACAGGACTCAAAATTAGAAATGAAGCAAAAGTTATAGCTGACATCACGAAATACAAAGGGTTAAAAGTGACTAACTATGAAAAATTATATGCCAACAAATTACGCAACTTAAAAAAAATGGATAAATTCCTAGAAACATGCAATCTTCCAAGACTGAAAGAAGAAGAAATAGAAAATCTAACCAGACCAATTAGTAGTAATCAACTCCCAGTAAGTAAATGGTGCAAGACCACATGACTCCACAGGTAAATTCTACCAAACATTTAAAGAAGAGTTAATAGCTATGCTTATCAAACCGTTCTAGAAATTGAAGGATTTCTTCTAAATACATGAGGCCAGCATTACTGTGATTCCAAAACTAGACAAATACACTATAAAAAGAAAATTATAGGCCAATATCTCTGATCAATGTAGATGCAAAATAGTCACCAAATGTTAGCAAACTAGACTCAAAGTACATTGAAAGGATCATTCCCCGCAGTCAAATATGATTTATTCCATGCGTGCAAGGATGGTTTCATATCCACAAATCAGTCACTAAATGTGATACAGCACATTAACAAAATGCAGGATAAAAATTGTATGATCATCTCCATAGATGTAGATAAAGCATTTGACAAAATGCTATATACATTCACTTGCAACAAAATGGGTAGAGAGGGATTGTACTTCAACATAAATCAGACTCACAGCTAACATCGTACTTAATGGTGAAAATTTGCTGGCTTTTCCTTTAAGGTCAGGAGAAAGACAAGAAGGTCCATTCTCACCCCTTTTAAGCAACAAAACACTGGAAATATTAGCCCCAGCAGTCAGACAAGAAAAAGAAAAAAAAGGCATTCAACTAGGCAAGGAAGAAGTAAAACTGTCACTATTTGTATGTAGGTGAATGATACTATATATCAAAAACCCTAAAACTTGACCAAGAAAACTATTGGAATTAGTAAATGAATTCAGTAAGGTTGCAGGATACAAAAGTAACATACAGAAATCTTTTGCATTTCTATAAGCTTACAGAAGTATCAGAGAAATTAAGAAAACAGTCTCATTTGCAATTGGTTCAAAACGAATAAATGTAATCTAGGAAATGAAAACCTGCACTCTGAAAACTATAAGACACTGAGGAAAGAAACTGAAGGTGACACAAATAATTGGAAAGATAAACCACTTTCATGGATTAAAATAATTAGTATTGTTAAAATGCCCATACCACCTAAAGCAATCTACAGATTCAATGCAAATTCTATCAAAATATCAATTTTTTTATAGAACTAAAATTTGTATGGAACCACAAAAGAACCTGAATAGTAAAAGCAACCTTGAGAAAGAAGAACAAAGTTGGTGGTATCGCAATCCCAGATTTTAAGATACAGTACAAATCTATGATAGTCAAAACAGTATGGTACTGGCACAAAAATAGACACACAGATCAATGGAACACAACAGCCCAGAAATAAACCCACACTTATTTTGTCATTTCATCTGTAACAAAGTATTCTAGAATATACAGTAGGAAAAGATAGTTTCTTTAGTAAATTGTGTTAGGAAAACTGAACAGCTAAAGCATAAGAATGAAATTGGATTACTTTTTTTCTTTTTTTTTACATCATATATGAATATAAACTAATTGGAATAAATACCTAAATATAAGACCTGGAATCATAAAGCCCCTAAGAGAATACATAAGTGGTAACCTTTTGGACAATGGTTTCAGTAGTATTTTTTGGATCTGTCTTCTAAGGCAAGGGCAACAAAAGCAAAAATAAACAATTGGAACTGCATCAAACTAAAATGCTTTTGCAAAGGAAATAATCAACAAAATGAAAAGGCAGCTTACTGAATGAGAGGACATATTTGTAAATGACATCTGATAAAGGTTTAATATCCAAGATCTACAAAGAACTCATACAAATCAATGCCGAAAAACCCAATAGTCTGATTAAAAATGGGAGAAGGCTTGAATAGACATTTTTCCAAAGAAGACATACAGATAGCCAACAGGCACATGAAATGATGCTCAACATCACTCATCACCAGAGAAATGCAAATGAAAACTACAATGAGATAATCACCTCAAAACCAAAACAAATGAACAAACTGCAGACTCATAAATACAGAGAACAAACTGGTTGCCAGAAGGGAAAGGTATGGGGTGATGGGTGAAATAGATGAAGAGGATTAGGAAATACAAATTTCTGGTTCTAAAATAAATAAATCACAGGGATGTAATACAATACGGCATAGCAGATATGGTCAATAATATTGTAATAACTTTATATGGTGACAGATGGTAGTTACACTTACATGGTGAGCATTTAATAGTGCATATAATGACTGTGTTGTACACCTGAAACTAATATAATACTGTATGTCAACTGTACTTCAATGAAAAGTCAATACTTTAAAAAAATAAAATATTTCAGAATAAATTCAATTTAAGATATGCAAAACATTTTCACAGAAAGTCATAAAAGATTGCACTGGGAAATTAAATAAATGGAGATAATACTATGTTTATGGAGTGAAAAATTTAATTTTTTAAGATAGCAATTTCCCCCAAATTGATCCGTAGATTTAATATAATTCCACTCAAAATTCTAACAGACTTTAAGAAACAAATGCTGATTTAAGCATTTATATGAAAATGAATAATTCTTGATCTATAACACAAATTTCAACCAGTGCTCCTGAGACTTATTTTACCTACAAACTATGGGAACAGTGCTCCTGAGACTATTTTACCTACAAACTACGGGAACAGTGAAAGGCTTTAGCTTTGAAAACCTTTTCTTGGAACTTCTGTTGGACCCCACAGTAAAGACCTTGACCATGTCAATGAACTTAACAATGACTAGACAAAGAAGGATTTTAAGGGGCAGCCAGCTTTTGGGGGCCAGTTTACTTTATAGGTAAGTTGTATATATGCAATAAAATTTAACTGTACTTTTAAAGGATTTTAACTGAATTTTTGTATAATCCTTTCCTTCTTTTTTTCTTTGACATACATTTAAATAAATGTTCCAACAGTCATAAGGTCTGTAATGTTAAATGCTTTGGGGATTAATTTCACTTTTGAGTAAGGGTGGGAGGGTATGTTTACATGTATGTGTGTGTATTATCCTGGAATAGACTTTATTTGTATTGATGTCATATTTTACATGAGGGAAATATTTGAATCATTTACCATTCTTTATTAACGGGAAACTGTACTTGTTTTATAGGGAAGAGTGGACAGAAGCTATTCAGGCGGTAGCAGACAGACTTCAGAGACAAGAAGAGGAGAGAATGAATTGTAGTCCAACTTCACAAATTGATAATATAGGGGAGGAAGAGATGGATGCTTCCACAACCCATCATAAAAGAAAGGTAGAGAATAGTAATTTATTCCCTACTTAGTATAGCGCTTATTATGTGTATGGAAGAAATATGCACAGTGTTGCATGAAGTATTGGCCAATGATCTTACGTTATGCAAATATAGAGATGTGGGTGTTATTTATCCTGGTAAATCTGAAATACCTGTCATTGTTTAAAACCAAATAATATAAAAGTCACCTCGTTTTCACTGCTTAGCGCTTACCACTGCTGGTAGGACTTCTGAGGTACTTGTTGACTAAAGTGCCATCGTGCTGATTTATAATTTGCATTTTTCTCATTGTTTTTAATATCATTTTAGAACTTGGAAATAATGTTTTCCCTAATGATTTGACCCTTTTCCATTTGGTGTTTTGTTTGCTCTGAAAGCAGAAGTGGTTCTCATGTGCTTCCCACCTGGCACCCCAGCTTCACTGATATCAGCAGAAAAGTGAATAGTCTTGGAAATAATAGCTTTTTATTTTAATGTCTGCTTCTGAGCTAGTGAGAGAAAAGACTTTCCTTCCCCAAGTGCTCCAGATTAGTAAATGTCAAGTTATATATTGATAGAATTATAAATTATGGTTTTTATTGATATAGAAAATTTAAAAGCTGGGTGCCTGGGTGGCTCAGTCACTTAAGCATCTGATTCTTGATTTTGGTTCAGGTCATGATCTCAAGGTCCTGGAATTGAGCCCCACTTTGGGCTCTGCACTCAGTGGGGAGTCTGCTTTAGGTTCTCTCTCCTTCTCCCACTCCCACTGTACGCATGCACATGTGCTCTCTCTCTCTCTCTCTCTCTCTCAATTAAATAAATAAGTCATTAAAAAAATTAAAAACCAACTTCCTTGTATGAAAATGGTATTTTAAGATTAAAGATCTAAGTGTTCAAAGTAAATGAACGTGCCATTTATCATGTTAGAATATATTTGTTATAATGAATTGTAAATTTAATCTCCATGTAGGAAAACACTAATTTTTAATGTAATTACCCATGTAATTTGATATTAGCATAATGATTAAGAACTCTTTGGAGTTAGACTGCTTGTTCAAATCCTCCTTTTTCCAAGTGCTAAACATGAACTTGATGAAGTTATACTGTCACAACCTAGAGCTTATTAATTACTTTCTCCTTATCTAAAATTTCTATTCTAATTATAATAATATTCTGTGAGTGATTTTGATCCAGTGTTTGAGAACTCTTTGTGTCTTCATTAAAGACTTAGCCTTTATTTGTTAGTTGAAATGAATCCCTCTTTTAAGTCAGTGTAACACCAGCTTGCTCTGTAGTCATTGCAAAAAACAAAGAACAATCTAGCTTTACTCACCTACTCAGAGATAAGAAAGCTTCTTTTGGATATGTATGTGCACATGTACACAATAAATATAAAATTTGATTATGCTCATAAATTTAAAATCAGGTCCCAATTAATCTTGCCTTTGAATTCTGTGCTACCACATTCATAAACAAGCTATACCAGCTATACTCTAAGTCTGTGGACCTCCTAAAACTCTGCTTACTAACTGACAGTAATAAGCTGCTATTGAGGTGGCTGTAAGTTAAAAGTGGGGAGTTTAAAATGCCCTAACTAGAAGTACTCTTACTATGAATGAGAGAATTTGGAAATGAATATAGAAATTATTTACCAGAAAAACTTTGAATGAAGAAAGACATTTTCAAAGATGTAAAAATGCAAAAATATGGAGGATTTTATTATTTTTCTGGTAAGACTGGTTATAAATCATAAAAGCACAATGTGATTTCCTCTTTTCACAGTTACCAATGTGGATTATCTTAGAAATCATCACCTTCACTAACTATCACTTATAAACATTTATTTTGTGCTCTGCTCTCAGGAGTACTTTTATATCTATTACCTCATTTAATCCTCACAAAAATCATATGAGGTTAGGTATCATTATTATCTCACTTTGCAGGTGATTCATCTGACATTCAGAGATTAAATAATCTTGTTCAAACATGTAAGGACTTTTAATTATATACTGGATACCTTCAGTGTGCAACTTATTTCTTATAATTGATATATCATAAGCCTTTATAATCACTATAATTCTTATACTTATTATATGACCAAGTTGTATTAGAGAGCAGAATTATACAGATACCCTCTCTTGTGATTGTACTTGGTTTCTCAAATATTTATGTCAAGCTGTTGCTTAGTGTTTTGTTAATTTCATTTTTTATTGGTGTACTGTTGGGAAAATCAGTAGAATTTGAATATCACAGAATAGTGATAGGAAGTGAGGTTTTTAAAGTAGATTCTCTAAGAAATCTTTCACTGAAACTGGATCTCAAAAGCCAAAAATTGAGGGATTTATTGTTTTATTTGATCTATATCTGATTTCTATTGTCCTTTTTTATTTCGGTCCATTTCAAAAAAAATTTTTTTAAAGATTTAATTAATTTAGAGAGAGTATGTAGACAGAGGAAGGGACAGAGGGAGAGGGAGAATCTCAAGCAGACTCCAGGGCTGAGCATAGAGCCCAGTGTGGGACTCGATCTCATAATCTTGAGATGAGATCATGACCTGAGCCAAAATCCAGAATCAGACACTCAACCGACCAAGCCACCCTGGGCGCCTGTTATTTCATTTCATTTTAAGTGAGATAGTATAAAACTGTTTTAAATGACAAGGAGTGTAAAAAAAGAACCTCTGTAGCACTCTTTCGTGTGGCCCTAACAACTTGGTTAAAAAGGGTAAGATAGTCATGTCACTTTCCTGGGTCTCTAGTACTACATCCTTTGTGTATATCAGGTATCCTAAAAAGAATTGCAGAAGTTTTTATTATTTTTAATATCAGACTGCATACTCTGAAATAAGAATGCCTTTCTTATAATTTACAGCGCACATTTTCTTCTTTGTTCACTTTTTTGAAAAATGAGCAATAGGATGAAGATGATAGCTCCTAATTGTGTTAGCTTTGCTAAGAATTGTCTTAGCTGTTTTCTCTTGCCTCAAGCAGATAAATGGTTACTTCTCTTAGTGGTAGAGTATTACCCAGTATCTGATGCACAGGGTGAAAAATCTTTTAGGGAAAGATACTGGGTGGTGGAAAAGAGGCAGAGGCCTCCTTAACCAGATTTATGTGCTTTTCTGTGTTTTAACTAAAAGATGATCTTCCAAAGGAATTTGATTAGAGGACTCGGAAGTGCCTACTCTTGATCTGCCAAGCAACCATTCTCTATACTGTCAGGTCTGTGAAGGAGCACAGCATAGAAGGATCAACAGCCAATAGGAGTCAAAGTTCTGCCTAATTTTAAAGTGACCAGGGTAGACCTCTCTGAGAGTAGTAGCTGCTTATCATCTCCTGACTTGGTGTAAAGTGTAAGCAGTATGTACTACTTTCCCATTATGTCTGGCTCCAGTTCTTGGAGTGTTTTTATTTAATGCCTGGCTACACTAACTCAAAGCAATGGCTGGCATGTGGAGAAAGAGTGAAGAAGTTTCCATGGAACCTGCAGAAATCATGTGCTCTCTCACTGCCTGTCCAAAGAAGGAGCAGCTGCCTAATCAATGGTGGAGAGGTTGGCTGGATAAAGGTGAATTTCTTGAAAGCCCCGTTTTTACTTAGTACCCCATGGGGCTTTGTTTGGTTTAGTTCTTAACCTTGACCAAAGGTGCTAAAACCCCTGTATTCTTTTCCGAGAGGTTTCTCATATTCGTCTTCAGTTATATGTTCATATTCTTAACCTAAATTTTGTACTACATAATTAGTCTTTTTCTTATATTCTAGTGTGTATTTGAATTGAGTACATTTATTAAGCATTTGTTATATATGCCTATGCATCTCTTAACCTAAAACAGCTACATTGATGTGCTGGAGATTATGCGAAGGAAAATGTAAAATATTTACTTAATAAATTTTGGGAGTTGGGTTTTAGAAGATTAATTTTTCTGCAGGGGATCCATGCTCTCATCTTTTATTAAATTCTTACTGTATTTTTTCCTTTAACATCATCTAAAAGAGGGAAACATTTTGTAATAGGTTACATTTCATTTGTAAAGACTAGATAATTATTGTGTATATCATATCATGCTAACGTGAGCATTTGGTATCAAAAATACTTTTAAAATTTTCTGAAGTTTTGTCAAAATAGATACAAAATCTGTTTCTGATTTTTTTCACATACGATGCTTTTACTAATATTAATTTCCATGCAAATTCTTTTTTTAAAGGTTGACAGTCAAACTGATAAAGCTGTGAAATATAAAGATAAGGCTATTATATTTTTTAAAACCTCCTTTTCTCTCAGAAGTGCAATCCTTAAGCAGTATAATAATATTTTATTACATATTGCTTTTCATCTGAAAATGTCATAAGACAATTTATAAATTCCTTTCTGATTTTTATCACTAAGAATTCAGTTTCCGTTTCTATGATATTTAATAATGGGACATAGCAAAGATCATTTTTCAGTGTACTTAAATAAACATTGAAGAGAGTACTGCTCAAATGAAGCTTTGAGCAAAAAATATCATGGCCTAGTTAGGGGAATGATGTCTCTCAGTTTGTTATAGACATGGAATAAACTACCCAAGTTCAATGTCTTAAAACAGTAACACTGTATTTCTTCTCAGATTTTGTGGTTTGTGTGAGTACTTCTACTGGTCTCATGTGGATCTCTCAAGCATTTGCATTCAGTTAGCACACAGGCTGGTCTGGAAGATCCCAGAAAGCCTTTCTCACGTTTCTGGATTCTTGGTTTCTCCTCCATGTGATCTCTTGGTATGTGGTATCTCATCATCTAGACCCTTTCTACATAGTATCTTTCCTTACGGCATGAAAGCCTGCTTTGAATTATGACTTTAACAAAAGGGTGAAAGCATAAGCCGCCAGATTTAAAGGCTTCTTCTGGAACTGGCATACTATCACTTTGATCCTATTCTGTGTTTAAAGCAGGACACAAGGCTAGCTCAGGGAGAGAGAAAGTTGAGTCTACCTCTTCAAGGGAAGGATGGCATGTGCATCCAGGAAGTCAGGGCACTAGTGGCAACCAGTGTTGGAGACTACCTAGCACAGATAGCTTTGTAGTTATATGGTTTTCCTTGATTTTTAAAAATCTATTAATAGAAACAAAATTTCTTAGCACTATGTACTATTCAAATGACACTAACCTTGTTAAGTATATTCTGTATATTTAGTGCCACATGTTTGATTTTTAGTTGAATTAATAAATGTATTTTCCTTTCTTCCCTGATACGTTTTGCTGCTTCTATTGTGAACTGGAGATATTACTGACTGGTTAAGACATTACAACTTGACATTTGGAAAAATTTTCAAATTTACAGGCAGCAGATAATGTTGAAAGTGAATGTAAGCATTTGTTTCTAAAATTTGTAGAATTTTTACAAATAATGCGCATGAGGAATATTTAGTCTGTAGTTTTCTTGAAATGTTTTTGTCTGGTTTTGATAATCAGGGTAATAATGGCCTCATAGAATGAATAGGGAATTATTCTCTTTTTTTCATCTTTCTGTAGGAGTTTATATAGAATTGGTATCATTTCTTCCTTAAATGTTTATAGAATTCAGCAGTGAAACCATTTGGCTCTCAGGTTTCCTTTTTGAGAAGTTTTTAGCTGCAAATTGAATTTTCTTAGTAGACATAGGGCTATTTAAGTTATCTGTTTCTGTTTGAGTGAGCTTTGATAGTGTGAGGCTTTCAGGGAATTTGTTCATTTCATGTATATTGTTGATTTTATGGGCATAAAGCTGTTTGTAATACTCCCACACGATCTTTTAGTGTCTATAGAGTCTGTAGTAATGTCAGCTCTTTTATTCCTGATGTTGGTCATTTATGTCTTCTGCCTTTATTTTCCTGAGCAATCTGGTTAGAGGTTTATCAATTTCATTGATCTTCTCAAAGAACCAGCTTTTGGTTTCATTGATATTCTCTATTTTTTAAAAAAATTTAATTGATTTCTGCTTTTATCTTTATTATTTTCTTTATTCGCTTTCTCTTGAGTTGAATTTGCTCTTGTTCAGCTTCTTAATGTGGAAGCTGAGATCACTGACTTGAGGCATTCTTGACATTTACTTCAGATGAATGGTAGAAAGGAAAAAAATACAGTTATAAAATGGCAGAAAAGTCTTCAATAACTTCTCATTATCTATAGGATAAAACCCAGATTCTTAACTTGTTATTCATAGAGCCCTGAACTGAATTTAAATTTATGATGATAGGGCAGCCCTGGTGGTGCAGCGGTTTACCGCCACCTGCAGCCCAGGATGTGATCCTGGAGACCCGGGATCGAGTCCCACATCGGGCTTTCTGCATGGAGCCTGCTTCTCCCTCTGCCTGTTTCTCTGCCTCTCTGTCGCTCTCTCTGAATGAATAAATAAATAAATCTTTAAAAAAAATAAAAATAAATAAATTTAGGATGATAAACTGAGCATACCCGGTTGTCTCTCCTTCTATTTAAAAGCCCATTAAAATGATAGTAAAGGCATTAAAAAAGAGACAAGTCCACGCAAATGAAAAGCTGGGTAGAGGAAAGGCATTAGTGGACAACCATATCAAAATTATGGAAATTTGTAGAAGAACACTAATAGAGCAAGAAAAGCATGCATAAAGGGGGCTGTAGAGAGCAAATAGCAGATCTGCTTGGCAAAATCCTGGGAATCAGCTAGCTTAGGAGTGAGAAATGAACCTGAAAACAGATTAATTAAAGGCATTCTTAGACGTCCCTAACTTTTCTATTCTGAATTGCACCAATTGCTTTCTCAGATATAGTACTGCTGCTTTTGAGATTTCTTCTTACTGAGCTCCAGGGTTATTTTCAACATTTCTTACACACCTATCTTTCACTTCTGAGGATTTTATCCTAATTTTGCTAGAGTACATTCTCAAATAGCTTCCGTGAAAGGTACTGCTCCCTTAGATGTATTTGGAAAAGTTTGTGGGGGCATTTTTGATGACCATGTTGTTTGGGGGTAGTTGCACTACTAAACCCCAAAAAACCTGAGTCCTTGGAAGACAGTATGGAAGTTCCTCAAAAAATTAAAAGTAGAATTACCATATGATCCAATAATTCCACTATTGGATACTTACCTAAAGTAAATAAAAACACTAATTTGAAATATACATGCACACCCCTATGTTTATTGCAGCATTATTTACAATAGCCAAGAGGTGGAAACAACCCAAGTGTTCACTGATAGATGAATGGGTAAAGAAGACATGGTATGTATACACAATGGAATATTACTCAGCCATAAAAGAGAATGAACCCTGCCATTTGCAACAACATGGATGGAGCTAGAGAGTATAACGCTAAACAAAATATCAGTCAGAGAAAGGCAAATACCATATGATTCCACTCATATGTGGAATTTAAGAAACAAAACAAATGAACAAAGAAAAAGAGACCAAAGAAACCAGACTCTTAAATACAAGAGAACACATTGGTGGTTGCCAGAGAGAAGGCAGGTGGGAGGGATGGGTGAAATAAAGGTGATTAAGAATACAGTTAACTTGATGAACACTGAGAAATGTGTAGGACTGGTGAATCATTATATTGTACACCTGAAACTAGTATAACACTATATGTTAATTATACTTCAATCAGTCCAAAAAAGGCCTGAGTCCTCGAAAGTAAATGAAAATGATTCTATTTTCCTTTTGCCCCTACACTTGACTGATAGCTTTTTTTTTTTTTCCCCCACAGTCGGTGTCCTATAGACACGAGTTTATTAAAGCAGCCAGGGTCAGAGTGGGTACAGGTGGGAGGAGGTGACAGGGGACCTTGGCAGCACTGCCAGCCTGAAGCCAATAAGACAGAAGGCCAGGGGGCCACAGCCAGTGGGGCTTAGGTCAGCAGGCAAGCAGGTGGACTGCTCTTCACCCTGCACATGTTAGTGCCCAGGGCATGGTGGAGGCTTTGGGAGGATATAGAGAGTGTAGGTGCCTGGCTCTAGTTGCAGTTGGGGGGGCAGGATGATGAGGAAGCCCCCTGCCCCCAAGGGGTCTCCAGCCACCGAAAGACAAGCCTTGCGGGTCAGGGCAGTGTGGCTCAGGGTTTGGGGAAGGACACTAGAACTTGGCTGAGGGATTTGAGATTCAAAATTATTGTCTCCAGTATCTGAGAATTGCTTAAATTATTTCTAGTATCCATGCCTGCTGGTGAGGCAGCCATTGCCGATCTGATTCTTACTCATTTAAGTGTGTTTAGAAATTGGTTAAATTTGCTTTTGAGAAGATGTTGCAAACATATACCTATATGTTTATAAATAAATTGCATCAAATATTTCATACTATATTTTTAATTTGTATTTTTCAGACAATGAATGATTTTGACTATTTGAAACTACTAGGTAAAGGCACTTTTGGGAAAGTTATTTTGGTTCGAGAGAAGGCAAGTGGGAAATACTATGCTATGAAGATTCTGAAGAAAGAAGTGATTATTGCAAAGGTAATTGATTACTAGAGTTAATTACCAAATTTTGCTTTATGGTATGCACTCATGGCATACACATGACTGAGGTGTAGAAATTCCACTAAAAAAACAAAATGTTGATTGTAGGCTGTTGTTGCAGTAGTATCTGTATATCAGGATTTATTTATAACATATATTTCAAAAATTTATAATATTATCTGAACATTGTATACTGAAGCTACTTTATTCCCTTGAGGAGATAAAAATATTTATTCTGTTTTTGTGTTTGGGGGAATGTTTTGACTGTTTTGACCTATATCACTAATCCACTAGTGTTGCTTTTTGATATTTTTCCTCAATATTCTGAATTTTTTATTATTAAATTAAAAAAGTAATTCAATTAGCATAAATGATTTGCACCCATAAGTTTACACAGCTCATATTGCATCCATAAGTTACACAGCTCATATAACAATGAATGGGAAAGCATCCTTAATAGATTTGAAAATATGAGAATCCTAAAATTAAAAGAAATAATAGTCTTTGAATTTTTTTCAGGAACCTTTAACTCCCACTTTCATAACTTTATTCAGCTTAGACATACACAAATAACTAACATGTTAATGATGCCAATTCTCACCCAGAGTTCTGAACTGAATCCTAATATCCTCAATAAACAAATTCAATATACTTTACAAATTGGTCCATGCCTTATGTTTTGTTTGATTGAACAAATGATACATAATATTATTGGTGTACTTAATGGACTACTTTAACTTTCAAACCACAGTTGACCCTTGGACAACTTGGGGGCTAAGGGTGACTCCCTGCTCAGTTGAAAGTCCAGTGTCACTTTGGACTCCCCCCAAATTTAACTAATAGTCTACTATTGACGGACAGCCTTAGCAATATCATGAATAGTTACGTCTTATATAGTGTATTTGTACAATGAAGTAAGTTAGAGAAAAGAAACTATAATTTAGACAATCATAAGGGACATAAGATATATTTACATGACTGTATTGTATTTAAGTGGACCCCTGCAGTTCAAACACATGTTGTTTGAGGGTCAACTGTATAGTTTCCTCATCTGGAGCATATTGCTCTACATACTGTGAAGCTGTGCTCCTCCTGTCTCTAACATTTGTTTTCATTTCAACTCTTACACAAGTCTGTGTCTGGTATTGGAAATAACACTGACCTTGGAGTCCTATAGGCCTGGATTCACACCTTAGCTTTGCATCTTACAATTTCATAACCTTTAACAACCCATTTTTTGGGGCAGTACGGCTCTCTTAGAGACATTTGCAGTGTTTTGGGGGAGCATATTTGCTTATCACAAGCATATTTGCTTATCACAGTGAATCAGGAAAAAAGAAACTGCTGACCATCATAAGGCTAATAAGGCCATGCATGCTGAATGTCCTGCAATGTGTTGAGCAGCCCAGCACAGCCTTGCATTTTTTATTTCCAAAATTTCACTTGTTAAAAGAAAAAAAGTCATTTGAAGTAAGGAGCACTAAGTATTGTATGCAACTGATGAAACACTGAATTCTACCTTTGAAACTATTAATACAGTGTATGTTAACTAAATCTAAATTGAAGAAATTTTTTAAAAAGGTATTTCTGGGCAGGAATATTAAGGATTAGGATAGGCAAAATGTTTGGCATCATACCTGACACTGTTCATTAAACTGATATTTTCTGGGAGCTAGTATAGTGCTACTTACTAAATGAACCCAAACAAATTACTCTTTATGCCTTCATTTCCTCAGTTGTAAGATGAGGATAATATAATGCTTATCTCATAGAGTTGTCGTCAGGACTAAATGAATGAAGAAGTATAATTGCAGAAAATAAAATTGAACTAAGTATAATTGCTGAAAATAAAATTGAACTAAGATTAAAATAGTATTAAACGAAAATAAATACATTATTACTCTAAGTATTTGCTATGATTATTACTCTTACCACCTACCCTGTGTGAAGCATCAGTAAATCATTTCTATTTTGTTTTTTCTTTTATGCATTAGCCTCACTTGAAGCCTTTTTCCCTATTAATTATACTTTTCTGAATAACTCTATAGAACTGGGTATATTTTACAAGTGATAGCATATCCAGCGTGGTGTACTATCCTTGATATATTTTCACCATAAATCCATTTATCCATTTCTTGAAACAAAATATGTCTGCTTATAGTAAAATGATTAACAATATAATGTTTCAGAGTCTTTCTGAGAAGACCTGGGGTTTGAATCATGATGTGCCCATTGCAGAGCCTCATATCAAGGAATAAATGATGTCCACGGGCCTTATTACTGTTGATGTTAACACTAACCACTTGATTAAAACATTGTTCCCCAGGTTTCTCTATTGTAGGCATTTTTCCCATTGTAATTATTAACTATCTTAGGAGGGATATCTGACACTATACAGGTATTTTTTTTCTTCTTAAATTTTTGCCCACTCATTTTAACTTCCATCAGTGGATCTTGTCTACAACAGTTATCACTGTGGGTACTAATGGTATTTTCTATTTCCTTCATTCTTTATGAATTTATTCTATTCAGTCTAACTGAATAAAGGTTTGATCATTTTATCTTTTCAAAAAGTGAACTTTTACTTTCATTTATTTTTCTCTGTTTTTCTATTCTCTGTTTTATCTCTGCTCTAATCATTATCATTTCCTTCCTTCTGCTAGTTTTAGCTTTAGTTTATTCTTTTCTCACTCCCTGAAGTTGTAAAGTTGGGTTGTGGATTGGAGATCTATCTTTGTCGTCTTCCTCGTTGTCATTGTCATTGTCATCGTCTTTGAGAGAGAGAGTGCATGCATATGGAATTTGGGGCTGAGGGGCAGAGGGAGACAGAGAATCTTAAGCAGGCTCCAACTTCAGCAAGAGCCTGACACAGGGCTTGATCCCAGGACCCTGAGATCATGACCTGAGCTGAAATCAGGAGTTAATCACTTAACCAACTGAGCTACCCAGGTACCTCAAGATCTGTTTTCTTTTTAAGCATAAGCGTCTAAGGCTATAATTTTCCACTTAGCATTGCTTTTGATATTTCCCATAAATTTTGGTATGTAGGTTTTTCTTTTCATTCGCCTCTCAGTGTTTTCTAATTTCCCTTATGATTTCTCCTTTGATCTATTGATAAAGACTCTTTTAATTTCTACAAACTTATAAATTTTCCAGTTTACTTTCTGTTTCTGATTTCAGACTTTATCTCATTGCTGTTAGAGAAGGTACTTGGTATGATATCTGTCTTTTTAAATCTGTTGAGACTTAATTTGTGGCCTAACATATGGTGTATGCTGGAGAATTTTCCACCTGCACTTGAAAAGAATGTGTAATCTGTTGTTGGGTGAAACATTCTCTGTGTGTCTGTTAGATCTAGTTGGTTTATAGTATTAAGTTTTCCATTTTCTTACGTCTCTCTAGTTGTTCTCATTATTGCAAGTAAGATATTGAAGTCTCCAACTATTATAGTAAAACTATTTCTCATTTTAATTGTCTTATTTTTGCTTCATGCATCTTGATGGTTTGCTATTAGGTACAAAAATGTTTATAACTGTTATTTGTTGCTGGATTTGAGCTTTTGGTAAATATATAATGTCAATTCTTGTCTTTTGTAACTTAAAAAAATTTTTTTTTTTTGGTCTGATAATAAAATAGCCACCCCTGCTCTCTTTTGGTTACCTTTGTATGTAATATTTCATCCTTTCAGTTTCAGCATATATGTGTCTTTGCCTCTAAAATAAGTCTTCTGTAGACAGTGCATATTTTGATCATGTCTTATCTTCTGATTGGAGGGTTTAATCCATTCACATTAAAATAAATACTTATAAGGAGGGAGTTCTGTCACTTTGTTATTTTTTTTCAATATGCTTTATACTTTCTTTGTCCTCACTGTCTGCAACTGTCTTATGTTTAGTTGATCTTTTTATAGTGAAACATTATAATTCCCTTCTCATTTCCTTCTCTATGTATTCTGTAGCTATTTTCTGTATGGTTACCATGGGGATTACATTTAACAACCTAAAATTATAACATTCTAATTTGAATTTATACCACCTTAACTTCAGTAACATACAAAAACTGCTTCTCTGCTGCTATGCTACTCTACTCAACCCTTTTAAGTTATTTATGTTAAAAATGACATCTTTATTCTTTTTGGTGCAATTATAAATGGGATTGTTTACTTAATTTCTTTTTCTACTACTTTGTTATTACTGTTTAGAAATCCAAGAGATTTCTGTATATTAATTTAGTGTCTTGCAACTTCACTGAATTCATTTATTAGTTCTGGTGGTTTTTTGGTGTTTCTGGGTTTTCTATATATAGTACCATCTCACTGCAAATAGTGACAGTTTTAATTCTTTTTTACCAATTTAGATACCTTTTATTTCTTTTTCTTGTTTTATTACTGTGGCCCAGACTTCCAGTACTCTGCTGATTAAAAGTGGTGAGGGTAAGACATCCTAGTCTTGTTCTTGATCTTGGAAGAAAGGCTGTCAGTTTTTACCATTATGATGTTAGCTATGGGTTTTTCATATATGGCCTTTATTATGTTGAGGTATGTTTCCTCTATCCCTACTTTGTTGAGAATTCTACAGTGAATGAATGTTGTAGTCTGTCAAATGCTTTTTCTGCATCTATTGATATGATCATATGGTTTCTATCCTCTTACTAGTGTGATATATTTCATTGACTGATTTGTGAATATTGAACCACCTTTACCTCTCTGGACTAAATCTTACTTGACTGTGGTGAATGATTTTTTAAAAATGTATTGTTGAATTTGGTTTGCTGATACTTTGTTGAGGATTTTTGTATCCATGTTCATCAAAGATACTGGTCTGTAATTTTTATTTATTTATTTTTTGTAGTATCTTTATCTGGTCTTAGTGTCAGGGTAGTGCTAGCCTTATAGAATGAATTGGGAAGTTTTCCTTACTCTTCTGTATTTTGGAGTAGTTGAGAGTAATAGGTATTGATTATTTAAATGTTTGCCAGAAGTCATCTGTGAAGCCGTC